GAAAAATGAAAAATGAAAAATGAAAAAATATATATAAAAAAGTATAAAAAAATAAAAAAAATATTCATATACGTAGAAAACTTTTGCCTGATAGATACAGACTGAAAAAAATAAAAAAATAACAATGCATTGATTTTTTTTTGATGATAAGATACCATCAAATGTAAGAATAATAATAATAATGATAAAATATCGCTCAAAAAACGGTCTGTCTTACATAATTCATTCGACTTTTTACTTGTTTCGTGCGAAATATCTTTTGAATAACGACGACGACCACTTTTAATAATAATAATAATAATAATAATAATAATAATAATAATAATAATAATAATAATAATAATAAATAATAATAATAATAATAAAAAAACCGGCACGTGGATCGAAAGGAAAGGAGTCAAATCTCTTGTAGTATGCAAGGTGGCAATTATTAAATCAGATTTGGTAGTGATGCACGTATTCTTGTGAGACTCGAGAGGTTTGCGTGAAAGTGTGATTTTTCGTGGTCCTTCCTTCCTCGCTTGCTTACCTGCCTACCTTATTCTAATATACCTTATATATACGCGTTAAATCTATCTGATATATACCTAGGTAAGGTAGGTAGGTATCTTACGCATGACCCAAAATCGCGAAAAGCAGACACCCACCCACCCACCCAAAGAAAGAAAGAAAGGGACTATTTTTCGGTTCCTTTGACTTTGACTTGGACTCAGAAACACAATGAAAGGAAGGAAGGAAGGAAGGAAGGAATGGCAGAACTTTGTCATTCGGATTCGGATTCAGATAATATAGTGGATGAGGAGTGGATGAGTGGATGAGTGGATGAGTGGCAGACGCAATCCGGCGCGATGGTTTTATATATATATATGTACGGAAATGAATTGTTAGGTAGTAAATGGTTGGTTGGTTAGTTGGTTGGTTGGTTGTTATTATTATTATTGTATTTATTAACGTCGGGCGGGTATCTAAAACGCAATGCTTAGACCCTAAAGACCTCTTATAAGGTACGGCGACGTGCTGAATAAAAGATGTATATACAAAGTATTATTTAATCGAGAGTAAAAACTACGTTAAGGAAAACCTTTCGTTAAATAGCTAAACACTTGTAAACCCTTTAAAAGCAATTCATAGTGATGTGCGTCGAGTTTTCTCTCGATAACTGTCGAATACGTATAGCTTTACGAGCGGCCTCGATCCGTATAATACAAACATCGTTCTCTTTCGTCGTAAAGCTAAGAAAGCTCGCGTTCGTAGCTTTTAAATAAAGCCGATGTGTTTGTAAAACGCTCTTTCGAAGGCGCAATACTATGTTTTCGATCAATCGAACTAAGCCTTTCTTATTTTATCTCTTATACACGTTCCTCTTTTATCGCAAATCCTCTTAGTCTTTTCAATCGGTATGCCCGTCAAGTATAGATCGTAATCGGCGTAGTATCCGAAAAGAAGAAAGAAAGAGGTTCGGAATCGCTGATAAAGGAAAATCTCTTCGAAAAGACGTCGTATATCGATAATTCAATTTCGGCTTTTTAAATTCTTAATCTTTTTTTTACCGCAAGAGAAAGAAAGAAAAAGAGCTAAAGGTTCGTAAAGGGCACCTCGTACAGGTAAAGAATCGTAGCCCTTCGGAGGTGGGTAAGTAAGTGGGTTCATCGTCCCTTTTTTTTTTCGCTGTTTTTATCCCTTTTTTTTTTTTTTATCCCTCCTTCTTTCTTTCGCTGGCTTTTTCTGGCTTTTTCTGGCTTTTTTCTGGCTTTTTTCTTATTCGTCATTCGTCATTCGGAGGGAAAAGGGGGCGGTGTGTGTTTGTATGTATGTATTTTTTTTGTTTTTCTTTTTCTTTTTGAGTTGGTTGGTTGGTTAGTTGGTTAGTCATTTCATTTCGTTTCATTTCCGAGTTGGTGGATTTCGTGAAATTGATAATGCGGTTTTTGATTTTAAGAT